GGGGTTTAGGGTTTGGGTTTCGGGGGTTTGAGGGTTTGGGTTTCGGGGGTTTGGGGTTTAGGGTGGGGCTTTTGTGGGCTTAGGGTTTGAAGGGTTGCGGGTTTTTAGGGTTCAGGGTTTGGGGGTTTGGGGGTTTGGGGTTTAGGGTTCGGGGGATTTGTATAGGGGTTCTACGAGCTCTCAGAAGGCCTCCCCACGGAATTATGTTTCTGGTATATTCCTTGTTTAAGGGGTATTAAGCTCTCTGGGGAACCCTTTTGGTCACCCTGAAGGCATCCCCTCCACCACCCCCTCCGAGGTCATGCGAGATGCGCTGCTGGAGGCCATGGCTGCAGAGCTTCCCTCGGGAAGCATTCGCTTAGGGACGAAGCTTCTGGAAGTGCAGACGAACCTTGGCACTTCGAATGAATAAGGGGCTTGAAAAATAATTGCTGCTGCTACTGTTCCCTCAGAGTGCCGATAGTTATGATGGAAATCAGAGACAATGCACCCCTCCTTCGCCCCCCAAGCCCTATGTTCAGCCCGAAGCGCAAGGCCCTTAGCCTTAACCCATAAGCCGTCAACCCTAAATCCAAACTTGCAAGGGCGTGATGTGGGGACTGCCCTCCACCCCAAACCCTAAACCTTTCCCGGGGTATGAGGGGAGAACGTGGGCCAGCCTCGAACAGCGACGCCACGTCTCCCGAATGCCTGTCCGCGCGAGTCTAAACCCAAACCCTAAACCCTGCACCGCCCAACCCCTAAACACTGAAGCCAAGCCCAAAACCTTAAACCATAAACCCCAAATCCCTAAACCCATAACCGCGTACACCCTAAACCCCCAAAACTCCAAACTCGGCCAAGACCCCGGCAGTTTTGAAGCTCAGCCAGGGCTGCAGAGCCCGAAGGGTTCTTTGGAGGGTTGCTACATGGGTTCCTTTAGAGGGCCACTATACTCGTTCAGGATATAGGTGTTAAGGTTTAGGCCTTCCCCCCTAAACCCTGAACCCTACAAGGGTATAGGGTTTAGGATTTGTAGAAGGGTTCCTTTAAGGGCTCCTTCAAGGGGTTCCCTCCAAGCTTCGGGCGTTCCCTTCCAAGGGTTGCTATAAGAGTTTTGTGAAGGCTTACGATACAGGCTACGATAAGGCTTCCTTTAAGGGTTGGTATCAGGGATAGTTCTTCATGGTTATGTATATGTTGTGTATTTGTATCTTTTTGCTGTATAGGTATGTGTACATGTATATGTATATGCATATGCATACGTACATATAGAGATCATATATATATATATAGATATAGATATAGATATAGATATAGATATAGATATAGATATGTATATAGAGTTGCATATATGCACAAGACCTACCTACATGCATGCATGCATACATACATACATACATACAAACATACATACATACATACATACATACATACATACATACATACATGCACATATATATACACACATGCATATACATATATATATATATACACATACGTATACATACATATATATATATATATATGTATATATATATATATATATACACACATGAATAAAAACATAAACACCTGACGCCTCAAGAAAGCTGTCGAGGAACTCGGATGGGCAAGCGGCGTGCTTCGGACCGAACAAGCTGTATTTGAGGGGTTTCGGACGTAGGGTTTAGGATGTAGGGTTTAGGGTTTAGTTTGGGCTAGGGTTTCACGGTTCAGTGGGGTCGTTCAAGGCTTCTCTAAGGGGTTCCGGAGTAAGGGCTCTAGAAGTGTTTATCGTTTCATGGTTCAGTCAGAGTTTAGGGTTTTCGTGTTGACGGTTTGTGGTACATGCCTGTATGATAGGATGTAAGGTTTAAGGTATATTAGTTTAGTTTTATCAAGGAACCTTAAAGAAGAGTGTCAGTGGCATGCTCCAACACAAAGGAGGTCAAGGATAAGATGTTTGACGAGTATTTAGTGTGCTCTGACGCAGAGTGCCGCAGCTTCGCCAGCTTCCCACACTGTGTTGTAGCCAACCCCACGTGCGGCGGACATCGGTATTTCCTCCAATTGTCTGAGTACCTCCGTTAGAAAGCAAATCCCCAGCTCTTTATAGTGCTCTCACTTGCAGTCCCTTTTTCGCATTCCCCAAGACTTTTGCCCGCAATTCTCCAAACCCGGGCAACATCCTTGTATACGCAGCAAAGATTGACTCAGACCCGTCACAGCTTTGAGCTTTCAGAAAAGCGTCGTGGCCGAGGTAGCTTAAGAACCCCCACAGAGTCAGGAACAAGGGCCATGTAGTATGCAGTGGATTCGGGGGCGTCGACTCGTACTTACAGCCTCGAGACCCGAACCCCTGGCTTTAGTAAGGGAATAATGTAGAGCCTAAATAGTTACCAATATTATTTTGGAGATTCCTTATTATATTTATAGTATAATATCACCCAAAACCCTATTCTAATTATTAAGGCACCTATACCCTAAACCCTTATAGTAGCCCTTATAGAACCCTTTAAGGAACCCTTTAGTGGAGCCCCCCAAAAACTCTATTCTAATTATTAAGGCCCCTATTCGTCTTTCTCTGCTGAGGACTTGCCGCTTCGAATCTGGGGAAGAGGCCGGCCTGGCCTCCGAGGGTTTAGGGCTTCAGGGGATTAGGGGTTTAGGGGTTTAGGGTTTAGCGTTTAGGGTTGAAAATTTAGGGGTAAAGTTTTCGGGTTCAGGGGTTTAGGGAGTCTGCTTTCGGCAAGCCTACGAATGAAACCCAAGGCCGAGGTGAAAAAACCAACCTAGAAGCCGAGCATATTTTACTGATGTTACTCCTTAAGGTTCGTTATTATATGTATAGTACTAGGGAGCCCAAAACGCTGTTCTAAAACGCCCCTACATTAGCGTCCAACCTTTTGTTGTTTGTTGTTGGGATATCCGCAGCAAAAAATTTCTGTGCGTAGACATGAAATCAGGGATTTCATGCCTACCGCAGAACATGGGAGTATTTCTGCAAGCAAAGCTTTGCTGCACAGTCCGAGTTGATGCCATAGTCGCGACAAGCACACTCAGAAATCTCAATGGTCATTCTCATCGAACAAGAGACCCAGGGACAGTTGCAAGTATCACCGCGAGTCTTCGGCAGAGGAGAATCAAGTAACTTGTCCCTGGCCCGACCCTCATCTACCACCCGAAACCTGCGCATGGTGTACTTATCAGGATGAAGGCAGACAACGTGGCCTAGCCCGAAACACTCCATCCTGCGCCGTGAACCCTGAACCCTATAACCATGTACTAAACATCCCGAAACCCCAAACCTTCAAACCCTGACCCTTAAACCCTAAACCCTAAACCCTAAACCCTAAACCCTAAACCCTAAACCCTAAACCCTAAACCCTAAACCCTCAACCCCAAACCCTAAACCCAAACCCTTGGAATCCTGAGCCCCCGAGCTGCAGAGGAGTTCGACCTCGTCGTCGCTGCGGACGGCATCGGCAGCAGGGCGAGACGCTGCGTCCTCGAGGAGGAGGGTGAGGAGGCTCCTCGATACACAGGCCAAGGGGGGGCAGGGGTTAGGGTTTAGGGTTT